CCGGTTTATATTTATTATTAGATTATATTCTTGGAGTTTTAAAGCCCATCTTATTAACCTGGGCGTTAGGTTTTTTTCCCCGAGTAAAGTCTACCAACAGCCGCATGATCCGAAAAGACTGTTACTGGCGCTTTGCCGAAATAAACTCGAAATTTGTGTACAGCCATTAATACGGCTAATGTTTCTCTCTCTCTGTAGCTGTATAATTCCTTTGTGTATGATTCAACGTTTTACTAAAAAATGCCAAAGGATGGCCATTTTGCATAAGAACCGCACCCCCACCGCATAGTCCGACGCATCTGCTGCAATTTCCAGGTTTTCGTCCCCTCCGGGAATTTCAAAACAGGGGCATTGATGAGCGCTTCTTTTAACCTTTCAAATGCAGTATTTGCTTCCGCTGTCCACGTAAATTTACTTTTCTTTCTTTTAATTACTAACAAGGGTTCAACAATATTAGCAAAATCTTTTATGAATGACCGATAATAAGAACATAACCCAAGGAAAGAAGAAAGTTTCTTGGCGGTGTTGGGAGGTGGGAAATTCTTGATTGCTTTTATTTTTGAATCCTGAGTTTCTATACCCTTTTGCGAAATTTTATAACCCAGATATTTAAGTTCTTTAGTTGCGAACTTGCATTTTGAGGCGTTAATTGTAAGACCGGCCTCTTTTAATAATTTAAAAACTTCTTCTAGATCTTTAATATGTTGTTCCAACGTACTACTCGTTATAATTATATCATCTAGATAGATTAAAGTCGATTTTCCTAGGACAGGCTTTAGAACAATGTCCATAGCTCTCTGGAATGTTGATGGGGCCCCACACAACCCAAAGGGCATGCGTAAAAATGCATAAGTGCCCGATTTTGTTATAAACGCGGTTTTATGTATGTCTTCGGGTCTCATAGCTATTTGAGTAGCCAGACGTTAAGTTCAAAGTAGTCATGTATCTTGTAGATTTAATCTTTCTCATAATTTCCTCTATAACCGGCAAAGGGTAAACTGGGAATTTAGTAATACTATTAAGTTTTCTGTAATCGATAGCAAACCTCCAAGCCCTTTTATCCGAAGGAGGAAACTCGTTCTTTTTCCTACATAGTACGACTGGACTCGCGTACTCACTATTTATGGGCGTTATTATTTTGTTCTTTAACATTTCCTGAATATGTTCTTCGATGATTTAGGTCTTTCTGTTTATCATAGCGGATAAGGTTTAGTCCTACAGGGTTTTGTCGGCAGTTAACTGTATCTCATGCGTAACTATTTGACAGCTACCAGGCCGTTTCTGAAAACAAGTTTGAAAAAGTACTCACCACTTGCTGGATGGCTTGACTTTCATGGTCATTCAAATGGCTAAGGTCAACTTGCGGTTGTTCCACTGGTTCCACCACCCTCCGGTCCATCTCCAGCACAATAGAACTTCCTGAAAATTCAGTTTGGCCCTTCGCGGCCCTTAAAAACTCCATACCTTGGACTTTACAAAAATTAATACTTTGAGGCTTTTCATCTTTTTACCTGTATGTTTAATGATAATTTCCCGATGCAGTGACAGGTTTTTCCTTGCGCCGCTATAATTTCTGTGTTTTATTTTTAAATAATCGTAACCTATTAAAATTCTTAAAAAAATTTACTCATAAAATTACCTTCTGCCCCTGTATCGATGAGGGCTTCTACTGGTACATCGCCAACCAGGACTTGTATAATTGGTAGATGTGAGTTTCTTTACGATGACCGTATTTAAGTGTCTTTTTGAGGGTTTTTTTCAAAACTTCCGGGGTCTGGACCCTCGCTTTCACAGGCCCCTCTACTCGTTTAAAGCTTTCCTTTCAACTTCTGCCTTCTGGGTACGCGGACGGTTGTTTTCAAATTTCCTTTTTGGGCCTTGACCTTCGAGCTTCGATGAGTTTAGCTTGATAGCTTTCCCCCATAAGAGCGATTTGCATTTCTGGTCTGCTCATTTGAAGATTGCCTTCGGGATACTTTGAGAATACGATGCCCCTTTGCCCTCTAGCTTTTCCGCTATTCTGCGATTTTGAAACTTGACCGCCAATTCGAAGAGCTCCTGCAATGTGCTTGGGTTTTCTAATTTCGAAGTAGTCTTGAACAGCAGGTAACAATCTTGGTAAGATTATTTCAATAATCTCCGCGTCGGGTTTCTTCCCATACAGCATATCCGTCAGCTTAATTTTTCGCAGAATAAAGTCCGTCAACTCTTCTATATCCCGTTGATAAAACTATATAGTTCGGCTTCCAGCCTTGCTCGATCTTTCACTATGGGGGAAGGCCTTTAATAACGATTTTTTGAAATTTTCAAATGTATATGTCTGGCCTCCAAATTCCCCTAATAAAAATTTGCCTATATTCTTCCAACCATAGCGCGGCCTGTCCTCTTAGTGCAGATGTGGCGATGGCAACTTTTTGTCTTTCAGGCACAGGGTAGAGCTGAAAGTGATTTTCTAGGCCTTCTAGAAATATCGCCACCGAATTTTTTTTCCGTCGAAATTGACGTTTGGCTTGATTGACGCTCTCAAACGTCTGGACCAGGTATCCAAATCCTTCCAATTGGCTTGCCATTTCTTGTGTTGTGTCCCAGCTTCCATCCAATTTTCGGCCATTTCAGTTCGACAAAAGTGTTCGGGCGCCAATGTAAAGTTGCGCGCTTCCAACCTGCACGCAACCAAAGGTGACTGTTGAACTGGAAATAGACCAAAGTCTTGAGAAGGGTTTAAGTCCCTTTTTATTCAACTTTAAATTACAATGCGTGCTCTTGACGCTCACAAACTACGCCGACCCGGCGGTAAAATAAAAATAAGAAACTGAAAAGAGATAATAACAAGTGTAGCCTTGGCTAATAATGTTTAAAATTAATTTATGACTAGGAACAGCATGAATTATAAACAAATAGCTAAGTTATTGCATTTTATTTTCCAGCTATCGAAATGCGACGCTACGAGCAACGTTTTGAAAACCAAAACCTAGCAATCATGAATCAGAACTAGAACTAGTTGCCATTCAGCATAAAAGAAATATAAATATGAATATTAACAAAATATTAAAGTTAATTTTATAAAATAATTAAATACATGAACAAATATATGAAATAAAAAATAATTATTTCTCATGCAATAACTGGGCCACTACACTACTCCCCCACCAGTAACTAAGTTACGTTACGAAGATGGAGAAATAGGTAGTAACTAGTATTGCAGTGTTAACCACTATCAAAATAATTTAGTCAGTCCTTGAATCTAACAGGTAAACGTATAGTTCTGCCTGTGCGAGAATGTTTTTGATTCCCATCCGAATTTGAGTCCGGTCTCTGCAAATTAGTGTAGTCAGGTTGTATCAACTGAGAATTTTCCTCAGCTAAAATATATGCTGGTTTCAAGCGATCCAGGGATACATTAACATGTTTTCCTTTTATGCTAATAGTAAAATATTTGTCCTTGCGATCAATAACAGGAAATGGTCCTTCATAAGGAGGTTCCAAAGGTTTTTTTACCCGATCTATTCGCTGAAACACATGAGAACAAGTTTTTAAGTCTTTACAAATATCTGTTCAGATGAATTTTTACGAATTAGTCTCGGTCCAACAACTTCCATCTGTTTCTGGAGTTTATTAGCAAAAGTCTCCGATGCTGTCTGGATACTTGGTTCGCTGAAAAACTCTCCAGGAAGTCTGAGACTCTGGCCATAAACTACTTGCGCAATAGAATGATTGGTATCTTCTTGAATAGCAGTACGCAAACCCAAAAGTACTGTTGGTAACGTGTCCGTCCAAGATATGTTGTTGTGGGCTTTTAATGCTGTTTTTAATGTTCAATGAAGGCGCTCAATTTGCTATTCCGGGTGGGGCAAAATTTTTCCCCCCATCACTCTTCTACCCGCCTAACGCACCCGCCTATTTCGCCCAGCTACCACGAGTGGGTGCACTGAACTTGTACTAGCTCTTTTCATCCGGACTGCTTGATCTTAGGATTTTTATTTTATTGCTGATATCAAGAACTAAGGAAACATTTTGTCCCTCTTATTTCTATTCCAAATTTTATGAATGATGACTGACCTCCATATTGAATTCTGGCCCTTTTTAGACACGAAATTTAAATAAAAGACCTTCTATGAGTTTTCACCTTTTTTTTCCTCGTGCAGAAGGTATTATCTGAAAAGCTTTTATTTTTATAAATTAGGCTCCTAAAGTTTTCCCGTATTAAATGAAGCCCTCTTTTGATATAATTAATTTATCTCTGGTGATGTGAAGTTAAAGCGCACTCCGTAAATTAACTTCCTTGGTCCTGGATACTGGCAACTTAGGAGCTAAGCACCTTTGGGCGGAAAGATTTAAGGAATGCAAAACAAGCGACATCTCTCTATACTTTGATCGAGCTAAAGAATCTGCTAGAGATTCGGAACGTTACTGAGAAAAATGCCTATCCACTCATTTCGATAGGTTATTAATGTCGTAGGAAAGGCACTGTGTGGGACAACAGAATAACAAATAAAAATAATTCACTGGAAACATTTGATATTTGTTTAAAACTATATTACAGTTTTTTAACCTGTTTGTCAGTTGTTTACATGTTAGTAAACTGATATGTAAATTGCAGTTACGTTGCTAAATAACGTGCAGACAAAAATTTGTTTCCTCATTAGTAAGTATTCATTTTTAAAAAAAAAAATTTGTTAGTTATTTGTATTGAAGTAAACTGTATTATAAATTACATTTACGTTTTTAGCACATGAAAATGGATATTATAATCTTAAACGTCATATTGGTTAGCCTCTTTTAAGGTTTCTTTATTCGACAATCTTCCTCGTTTTTTGATTTTTTTAGTTTCTGAATAGGAAACATGAAATCCGAATATAATAACAATTTTTTGGACACGTTCTCTATGCGAATAAATGTTACTACTTCAAGAGTTTGAATGAATATATATATCAGCTTCCACTTGATTGTCATTGTTGTAAATTGTAACACCCTTTCTTTCAGAAAATATATCTGCAACTTGGAAATATCATTCTAAATCTTATGTGGTACTTACGTATTATCGCAACCAGGTTGGCGCGATTTGTAAGTTTGAGTAAAAAAGTATGAATAGAAAGAAAATGTACATTTATTAATTACAGATAATTTTTAAATATTATTTTTTTTTTAAATATAAAATAGCAATTAAACCCTTCCGGTTTCGAATTTGAATAAGTTGCAGAATTATTTTTTTCGGCGGAAAAATCTTTTGGCTATTGCTTTTAGCACTGACTGAAAACCGTCTTCGCCATTAACAGCTTGAGCTTGGCACCATATAAATTCGATAAGGTATGAGTCAAGATGATGACGGGCTGTTCCTCTCTATTTTTTGTTGCGCCATTTGGCTGAGCCCCACATGCGCTCTACATGTTATGTGTGAACACCCATGTTGGGATCCAAAAAATTATATTTGTGATTAACAGTTCCATGCAGTAATCCAGCATTTTCGAACTCACTTGTATTGTATCCTTTCCAGCAATCCTAATAAATGATGCTTCCTTCCTTGATATTTTCGGAAATTTTTTCCATGAGGGTAACGGCGCTTCTGTTAGGTGCAGTAACCAAAAATGTCTCTTTATTTTCTCGGCAAATTCCGCCGAAAACCGATTGCTGTGGTAGTATACGCTCAGTGTTATTTTTTTCTTTTTACAAATAAACTTTCGTCTATTTTCACACACGTAGGGTTGCCGTAAGTAGGGTCGCCAAATTTGGCGATTTATGCGAATTTTCACCTGGTTGCGTTAATACGTAAGTACCTCTTACGTTTATTATGCATTGGGGTGAAAAAAAGTAAACATCACTCGGGGTTTCTTCTGCAAAGCACCCATTGGCGCAATTGAAGTTTTACTTGCCAAGCTCACCAATGGTTGATCAATGTCGACGGTGAGCGGCATTATCAGATACAGTCAAAAGTCGTTAATTCGGACACCCATAATCCGGAATGATCTATAATCCGGACCTCAAAGCTACAAACTTTCTGCGCATGCATCGAGTTCACGCATGCGCACAGGCGTTTACGAGAGTGCATAAGACCCTTACAGCTGCAAATATGTTTGTGCGCATGCGCGTTTAATGTGTAACGGAGTTATACGCTAAGCTAAAGTTATCTAATTCAGTTAATGTTGCAGATTGCGTTGTTCCTTAATCTTCGAATTGGATCCGGCTTATTATTTTTTGCAGACTGTTAGAGCAATTTTATAAAAGTAAGCTTGAACTTTCGATTATGTCAAATAAAATTTCCGATATATATTTACTACAAAGCGAAAGTATGTTTTGAAATCCGAAATCTGTTTATCAATTTCACGCTGCTCTGCGGCAGAGGGGGGGCAGAAACGTCATTATTAGATTATGATAGATTAGAAAGATTATGTCAAATAGAATTTCCGATATATATTTACTAATATGTAATTTGTATCTACAAAGCGAAAGTATGTTTTGAAATCCGAAATCTGTTTATCAATTTAACGCTGCGGATTGGAAGTTGAGCTGTCAGCACTATCCTTATCTTCAGAGCAGATGTTTTTATTTTATTTGGTTTATAATTCCGTGTAGTATTTCATCTCGATATACTCTGTCTTTGATATGATTTAAATCAAGTTCCTCGTCGTTATAATTCGCTTCCGATAGTGAAGAAAGTGACCCAGAGGTTATTGAAAACGAAAACATTTCGATTGACAAATTAGTCGGTATTCTCAACACAGCAATTATAGGACTTGAACAGCGGAACTTTGTAACTAAACAAGAAATTATGACTGTTTAATAGAATTAAAGAGAAAGTATTATCACATGAAACGAAGCAACGTACATTGAAGGAAATGTTTAATAAGTAAACAAATAAATATTAAGCTTTTTCTTTTGTAAATTTTGATACCTTTAGATCATAATTGTTCTTTATTTCATAAATTATGGTTTCATATTTTTAATTTTGTAATTTCTGCATGCCATCTTACCAGATTTAAACTGATGATCTATAATCCGGAAAAATCGATAATCCGGAATCGTCGAAGTCCCGACGAGTCCGGATTAACGACTTTTGACTGTATTAAAAACACATGGAATTAAGTTGTGTAAATGTGATATTTAGTGTATATAATCAAGATTAATTGGCTCTAGCGTAGAATTGGGTGCCCCTTCAATTAGCAACAATTTTTTGTAAAATTTTGGCGATGAAATCACATTTCTGGTTAGCATGATAATTTAACTTTGCTTTAGCCTTCTGATTCTTTTAAAAATAAAAATAGATTGATGTGTACATGGACAAATTTAAAGCAGTGCGCAATGCCTAGTTTGTGCAATTCTGGGATGTTTTTTTAAGTGAAAACAGATCGATGTGTACATGGACACAGAGTTTATGCAATTCTTTGACTTCTTATTTTGGTTTTGTCTAGCGGCCATCTTGAAATTGTGGCTTCCTGGTGCCGATCTTGGCGTCAAAAAAGAATCGCCAAAAAACAAGGGGCACCCAATTGTAAACTTTTACCGATTAATTAACTAATAAGTGACATAAATTCAAGTTAGCAGAGAAAACAATGTATTGGTTGATCTTTGGATTATGGTAACTTGGCGATTTTTTGGCGAAAATTTGGCGATCAACTCTGCTACAGCAACCCTCTATTTTTTTTCGCCGCCATTTTGTCTTCACGAAGTAAAGACATGTTTCTTTTCTTTTTATTTAGTCAACACTTTTTCCAACAATCTACTAGCCGAATTACACTTATGCTAGAAATTTTATGTAAAAAAACTGCTTAATCATGACAAATATTAACTGCAAAATTGGGAAAAAGTGCACAATCGCAAACTCCTTGTGCATTTTTCAGAATAGCCCATGCACATAAACCATTTACACGTCGACTTATTTTTACTTAAAAAAAATCCCAGAATTGCACAAAAATGGCATTGCACACACTCTTAACTTTATCCATCTACACTGCTATTTTCTCATAAATTACAAAAATTTGCACAAAAATGCAGGAAAATTTTGTGAATCTTTAAACTCGGTAAAAAGCACATATATGAAATTACCTGATCGCGAAAAAGTATATACCCTTTCCAAGGATGAACATTTCCACGTATAAAATAAATAAAATATCCAAAAACTTTTACCTCTAAATTATCTATTATATTATAACGTTACCAACGAATTTATACCGCAAACATTAAAAATAGTTACAAATACGTAGTGTCAAATATTTTAAATTATTTCCATACACGTTTACTTCAACTGAAACGTATACCAAATTGCTACAAACATAAAATTCACAAAATAACTATCATTTAATTAAAATATCACTAAACCATGTACACGTCGACTTATTTTTACTTAAAAAAACATCCCAGAATTGCACAAAAATGGCATTGCGCACACTCGTCACTATATCCATGTACACTGCTTTTTTCTCATAAATTAGAAAAATTTCACGAAAATGCATGAAAATACTCAATGTATACTACTCAAACGTATTCCAAAATACTACAAACATATAACTCACAAAATCACGATCATTAAATTAAAAAACACTACTTAAAATGTAAATTAGCACATACATTAAATTAATAAAAATTAGATTACAATCCTAATTACTTTAAACTAAATCATTGCTAATAACAATTTTCCAATAATACCATATTAATTTATTTACTCCTTACATTTAGAACAATGCATAAAAATAATATCCTCAAATAATTAAAAATACTAACTTACCTCATCTTCATTACGTGGCATGCACACTTCCCTACAGAAAGAGTTCCAATCGGGTGCAGTACTACTGCTGATTTCTAAATCCGAAATCCAGTAGTCAACTGGCAGTCTATTCACCCAGTAATAAGAAATTAATAAAATTTCACCCATACTCGAACTACTTTCAGCAAACCACGTACCCTTCCTTACACTCCGTTTCACAAAATGTCCATTTCCACCAGATTTCTTGCACCGCCATTCAAACTTATCTGTAATATCCTTCCTTTCACACAATCTCATTTCATTCCCACATTTTGGACATTCATACTTATCTGCAATTAAACCTACACTCATACACCATTCAACCAATTTTTTTGAATTATCAGATAAATGCATTAAAAATTTAGAATTAACTTTAGATAGCGCCATGCAATCCAAAAATTAATCAACACTATTTCACACAACACACAATGAAGCTTAATACAAAATAATATAGTACTACAGATATTTTTCCAAATTTACCCCCTTTTCCGATTAAAGAACTGTAATTCGTCCATTAATGTCACATGACAATAACCACTCACTTTCTATTTTGGAAAAAGATGGCAGAGTGATAAACAAAACAGAAGAAATTGCAAATGCAGTTGTTGAGAGTTTTGCTGCATTCTCTGGCAGCAGCAGGTATCCACAAGCATTTCTTTCTCTCAAGCAATGCTCCAAGAAACTTTCTATTATATTCAACTCTCCCAACTCTTAAGTCATATAATGTGAATTTTACCATGTTAGAGCTAAAAAGAGCTCTCATGAAGACACTTAAATCTAGTCCAGGTCCTGATGCACTGGCATGATAAAGAATCTTTCCTATAAATCATTGAATGTCCTTTTTACTCTGTTCAATTGAGTGAGGAAAGAGAACATAATCCCCAGTACATGGAATTAAGCTATCGTTA